CAACGGTGGGCTGCGGGGAATGTTTTTTTCTCGGGCTACCCGAGCCCGGGATATTTAGGTGGACGGGCGGCGATAGTTGCTTGCCCGCCGAGCCCGAAAATTTTCAAACTTCGGGCAGGCCCGCCGCCCGAAGTTCCACCACTAATTATAAACATGTTTGTTAAAGGCGTTCAAAATCTAGTTCAAATAGTTTTGTTATGTTTTTTGCCACATAAAATTTTAATTTTAATTTAAACCATCTTGTTTGATTGAATCCATGAAAAACGGGCCTATATTTATCATGTGCCCGTAAGAGTCGTCGTCTAATTTGGTTATTTTTGTCGTTCATTACCAATAGCCGTTTCTTGTTAATTGTCGTTTCATCTGTTGTCGTATTAGACACTGTTGTCGTTTTTCTCATTTTCTGTCGTTTTATTGTTAGGCGTTTATATTGGAGTATCGGAGCCCGAAAATCCAATCTCTCTTTTATTCTGTCCTTCAAACTTTATTGATTCCGGTGTTGCTGTGTTGGCGCTCAGACCCTTCTGAGAAGAGAAACTTTTCACATATTTGCTTCTTCCACTGTTCTGTGAAACTGCCCTAGGTTAGGTATGATTCTTTTTCCAGATCTCCTCACATCCAAAACAGTTTACGAATCGCGCTGAAGAATTCTTAAAAAAAAAAAAAAAAAAAACTGATAAAACATTGCTTGTTTTGTTTATAAATCGCAGCTCAGTGAAGAATCCATACATGGATCCAGATTCAGTTAAATCGACTCTCTCCAATTTAGCTTTTGGAAATGTAATGGCAGCCGCTGCTCGCGATTATCAAAAGGTTTGATTTTTTATTTTATTTTATTTTACTTTCTTTTCTCAAAACTTAATTTTGCTTTTCAAAAAAGGATAGCTTTCAGATCTATCCCTGTCTGTTTTTTTCTTTTTTTTTTTTTTGGAGCATAGTGAAAATGATATTTTCATTGAATTGAGTTTTTTTTTTTTTGGTGTCAGAATTCAAATTTTATGGATAATAATGTGGGTTTCTTTTTTTACTTTTGGGGGATTTTGTAGGAATTGGTTGCTCAGCAGAAGTCGCAGGCATCAAGCTCTGTCAGCCAAGAGGTTGATCTTGATGAATTGATGGATGTAAGTGCGTTTCTGTTCCTGTATTGACCTTCCAATTCAACATAATAATAGTTTTTTGTATATTGTTTTTGTTGTTAACATTATTGTTATGTTCTAAATATTTAAATATTTTGTTTTGATCATATTAGGATCCTGAGTTGGAAAAGTTGCATGCAGATAGAATTGCTGCTCTCAAGGTTTGATTTTTTTTTTTTAATGTTAATTTTTAATTTCAGGTGTATGTAGTTCATAGGGAGCTTTCTTTGATTGGTATCAATATTTATGTTTGTGGAATTTTTTTTTGTTTTTGGTAATGCGTATTAGAAAGAAGCTGAGAAGAGAGAAGCAATGAAAAAGAAAGGACATGGGGAATACAGAGAGATAACTGAGGGAGATTTCTTGGGTGAAGTCACTGGGAGTGAGAAAGCCATTTGCCACTTCTATCACCACGAATTTTATCGCTGCAAGTAAAGCTTTTACTAAAATCACTTTTGCTTTCTTATAGTATGATTCTGCTCTTCAGATTGTGTAGAAAACTAGAAATAATCGTGGTTATGCTAATAATTGTTTCTAGGATAGTGGATAAGCATTTGAAGTCCCTTGCTCAGAGGCATCTTGATACAAAGTTCATCAAGTTGGACGCCGAGGTAAGAATTCGTGACTTGTTTGTTTGTTGTCCTACAAGTTGATTTCTAACTTAGTCTTGGTAATTTTCTTGCCTGAATCCTGTTTCAATGATTGGATCCTGCTTGATTGCATCCTTGAATTTGTTAATGATTTGTTGTAAACTTACAGCTAAGATGATCCATGTGCAATCAACTATCTTTTATGAATTGCAGAATGCACCATTCTTCATCACCAAGCTAGGAATCAAAACTTTGCCTTGTGTCATACTCTTCAGGTGATCAGGCTATTTCGACTGCTGGATTTCTTTTCCTTTTTGGGCTGGTGGGGATAAGGGATAGTTAATAAATTTGTTTCATTTTACTGCAAGCAAAGCGATCAAAGTTTCATTCTTATGTCGGTTTTTGGAGATTATGACAGTTTGAATGATTGGCCAAAGTAAATGTAGTTCATGTGTTTGATTAGTAAACATTAATACTGGATTTGTTAGTTTTGCATCGAAATTTAACTAATGGAGTGAGAGGGGTTCTCTTTCAGAAGAGGGATCGCAGTAGACAGGCTAATTGGATTTCAAGATCTCGGAGGGAAAGATGACTTCAGCACAAAGGCGCTTGAGAATCTGCTTATCAAGAAGGGTAAGTCCTTTGTCCAGTGTATTTGTGGTGCTTCGTTTATGAAGTAGTATCTCTAATTCATCCTTTTGCAGGTTTTATTAGCGAGAAGAAACAAGATGAAGATGAGGAAGACGATGGTAATCATGAAAATAGGCGCTGGGCAGTGAGATCCTCAGTAAATTCTGATTCCGATTCTGATTGAGAATGATACCTTAGTTAAACGCTCAGGAGTTTAATGAATGCATAATTATTTTCACTACATTGTATTTTTCGTAAACGAAATTGAGCGCCACATGTTCAATCCATATTTATTCAAGAGGTCTCAGAACAAAGTAACTTCTTGAATTGAGTTGAGTGAAAGTTCTGATGGCAAATTCGAGCAATTTGTTGCATGGCTTACAGATGCAGTGGCAAGCTTTATTACACCCTATATAACTATGTTGTGGCAAGCCGCCTTACATTTTTTTTCCCCTTTTCCAAAGAGAATTTGCATCTCTTTATTGATCAATTTATTTGTTATGCACGTCAGCTTTTGAAAGAAGTTGTACTCCTGTTTTTAGACACTGATATGCTTAGGAAATTCCTTGGTAAATATTTGATGTTTGAATTATTATCACTGGTGCTTGAACTTTGGGATCATCTCTAGTTTGCTCCCCCAATTTTTAAAACTCTCACTAGTTCTCTGAATTTAGAATTGTTTCTATTGGGATTTCTTTTGAAACCCCTTCTGTTGAGATTTTTGTTAAAAACAGATAGAAAAAAAGAGAGTAATGCAATTACATTATCTTTTTGTTTGAATATTTGTTAAAATCAAATTGATAAAAAACACGTGACAACACTTAATTCTTTTTTTTTTGGTTTGATTTTAACAGAAAATTCTTATAAAAGGGCGTAAATAGGAAAAATTCAAAATTTTGGTGGTAAAGTGAGTTTTTAAAGTTTAGGCGGTAAAATAGAATGACTTCAAAGTTCAAAGAGGTATTAGTGAGATTAGCCCTTGATGTTTTAATAATGCTCAAGTAGTGCACGTGGGATGAGTTTTTAAAGTTTAGGTGGTAAAATGGAATGACTTCAAAGTTTAAGGAGGTATCAATGCGATTAACCCTTAATGTTTTAATAATGCTCTAGTAGTGCACGTGGGATTGAAGGAGCAGGTTATGTTTGGCAATGTGTCTATGAAACTAAAGGCATGACTAGTTTTCAGTGAACTACGTTTTGAGTTTACAAATCACAAGTTTGCAACCAGCGTCTCCTTCTAAAAGCAGAAACATAACTAGAAAGAAACGTGGAAACAAACTCAACAAGCAAAAAACAAAATCAAGAACAAAATAAAAACAAAAACTAGCTGTTTCATATATTCATGCCTAGGTTTAGGGGAAAAGGTGTTGGAAAACATGAGGTGTGTTCGGCTGTTAAAAAAATTCAAAAAAATACAACTCGAGTTCCAACTTTATTTAAATTCATATTCTTTTAAGTTTGAACTCGAGTTTGGGACTAAAACTCGAGTTCAAGTGTCCCCTTCAACTCGAGTTCAGAAACTCGAACTCAAATTAATGAACAATATTTTTTCTTTTCTTAAAAATGCTGTAACTTTTTCGTTTTAATCCTGATTGAGATGATTTTTTTATGCGTTGACAACGAAAAGACGAATAAAACCCCACTCATATACCCTATTAAAAATTTTCATCACTATTGAGTTTTTAGTAAAACACTATCTAAATACAAATTTAAGTTGACTCACTCAAACACAAACTCAAAAAAAGATTTTTATCTCAAACCATAACTCAAATGTACACAACCAAACACAAACTCAAGTTACAACTTCAACTCAAATTATAACTCAAATTCAATTCAAAAACTACACTCAAATTACGCTCTAAAAGAACAGACCCATGATTTTTCAACCATGTTAAATAGCCATTTTTAAGCTTGATTTTGAGTGGGTCCCGCTTGGTCATTGTGGAAAATTAAAGTGGAATCGAGTTCTCCTCCATGAGATCTTCAAAACAGTATATTATTGCTCAAAATGATGTTTGAATGAATGAGAAATTGATGCTCAAAGTATTTCCACTATAATAGAAGGTTGGAAAACATAAAAGGGAGAATTTGTTGTCCCACATGGAACTATAGCTTGATAAAAGTTTAAGAGTTTGCACTATTGAGCTCATGTAAGAACTTGCACCCAAGAGGTTATCTCTGCACTGCTCGTGATATTTTCGCAGGCCTCACGTCTTTCTAAATTCTGTTTAGGTTGTTTAAGGTTGAATTTATTCTTGTAATTTTTATTTCCACTTTGTAATTTTTCTGTTACTATTACTAAACATGTTCACTTCTATTTCGTGTATTACTTCTAACAAAAGAATCCTCCACAGCTTGGCCAATGAAAAAAAAAAATGCTCCCATGTTTTGACTCTATATTAAAATGTCACTAAACAAAAATAACCGTAATGTAAATTAGGTTGTATTGCTATACTTTTGACGTCTACCCATCCATCTTAACGTATTTGAAATCCAATACTCTAGACTCTAAAGGTGGTGGATTCCTCCAATTCTATTTTTTAGAAACATATTCTTCTAATTCAACCCATACCCATAAGCATCCTCAAGATGAAGTCAGAAAAAACTATTCAAGGGAGGCTTTGAATTAAATTAAAACTTTAGATTTTATTATTATTATCACGATTATTATTTTTGGTTTTAGACTCTACTGATTATTATTATTCGTGGGCAGTGGCATACGTCAAGGACACGTTTGGTTTATAGATTAGAATCATAAGATTAGAACCATTTTTGATTTACGTGTATTTTTTGTAAGAAAAAACACTGTAGTGAATCATGAACCATGATTCGAATCGAGGTACGAATTCTCTAACTAAACAACCTTTTACGGTCCTCGATAAATGGCACACGTTGGTACAAGAATTATTTTCATAAATACCCTGAAATATGTACTTTATTTTAAAATTCCTCTTAATATTTCAAAACAAGTCAAAACGTTCACTAATTTAATAATAATAATAATAATAATAATATCAAGTAATTTCAGAATCAAAAGAACCAGAAGTGAGAGGGGATTTATTAGGGCCCTTTGTATAAATAGACTAAGTAAAAAGTATTTTTAAGTAAATAAACCACAAAAAAAATAAATTGAGTAAATAGGCCAACTTCCACATCAGCTATTCCACGTCATCAATAACCGACCGACCAGACCAAGAACAGACAAAGAACCAAGAACAGACCAAGAACAGACCAAGAACCGACCTCCAGACCAAGAACAGACCAAGAACCGACCGACCAGACCAAGAACAAACCAAGAACCAACCACCAGACCAAGAACAGACCAAGAACAGACCACCAGACCAAGAACAGACTAAGAACCGACCACCAGATCAAGAACAGACCAAGAACAGACCAAGAACCGACCACCAGATCAAGAACAGACCAAGAACAGACCACCAGACCAAGAACAGACCAAGAACTGACCACCAGATCAAGAACAGACCAAGAACAGACCAGAATCGACCAAGAACCGACCACCAGATCAAGAACAGACCAAGAACAGACTAAAAACTGACCACCAGATCAAGAACAGACCAAGAACAGACCAAGAACCGACCGACCAGACCAAGAACAGACCAATAACAAACTCTAATAAAACATTAAAAACATACATTTTTACATATTTTTTGATTTTTTAGGTGTTAATAACCACTGTAATTTATAAAATAGAAAAAAATATTGGTAAAAAGAGAAAAAACCAAGAACAGACCAAGATGTTCTTGGTCTGTTCTTGGTTTTTTCATTGTTTACCAATTTTTTTTCTCTTTAATAAATTAAATATCTTTCCAATCTTCGGGACTAGTTTGAAACTTTCCAAACAAAAAAAAACAACATCATTGTCTATTCTTGGTCAAGTATTGTTGGTTCTTGGTCTGTTCTTGGTTTTTTAATATTTTACCAATTTTTTTCTCTTTTATAAATTAAATGTCACTCCAATCTTCGGGACTAGTTCGAAGCTTTCCAAAAAAAAAAAAAACATCACTGGCTATTCTTGGTCAAGTGTTGTCGGTTATTGGTCTGTTTTTAGTCTGTTCTTGGTTTTTTCTTTTTTTACCAAATTTTTTTTCTCTTTTATAAATTAAATGGCTCTCCAATCTTTTGGACTAGTTCGAAACTTTCTAAAAAAAAAAACAACATCATTGTCTATTCTTGGTCAAGTGTTGTCGGTTCTTGGTCTGTTCTTAGTCTGTTCTTGATTTTTTAATATTTTACCAACTTTTTTTTCCTCTTTTATAAATTAAATATATCTCCAATCTTCGGGACTAGTTCGAAGCTTTCCAAAAAAAAAAAAAAAACATCACTCTCTATTCTTGGTCAAGTGTTGTCAGTTCTTGGTCAGTTCTTGGTCTGTTCTTAGTCTGTTCTTAGTTTTTTAATATTTTACCAATTTTTTTCTCTTTTATAAATTAAATATCCCTCCAATCTTCGGGACTAGTTCGAAGCTTTCCAAAAAAAAAAAAAAACAACATCATTGTCTATTCTTGGTCAAGTGCTGTCAGTTCTTGGTCTGTTCTTAGTATGTTCTTAGTCTGTTCTTAGTTTTTTAATATTTTACCAATTTTTTTTCTCTTTTATAAATTAAATGTCTCTCCAATCTTCGGGACTAGTTCGAAGCTTTCCAAAAAAAAAAAAAATATCACTGTCTATTCTTGGTCAAGTGTTGTCAGTTCTTGGTCAGTTCTTGGTCTGTTCTTGGTCTGTTCTTGATTTTTTCTTTTTTTACCAAATTTTTTTTCTCTTTTATAAATTAAATGTCTTTCCAATCTTTGGGACTAGTTCGAAGCTTTCCAAAAAAAAAAAACATCACTCTCTATTCTTGGTCAAGTGTTGTCGGTTCTTGGTATGTTCTTGATTTTTTCTTGTTTTACCAAAATTTTTTTCTCTTTTATAAATTAAATGTCTCTAAAATCTTCGAGACTAGTTCGAAGCGTTCCAAAAAAAAAAAAAAACATCATTGTCTATCATTGGTCAAGTGTTGTCGGTTTTTAGTCTGTTCTTGATTTTTTCTTTTTTTACCAAATTTTTTTATCTTTTATAAATTAAATGTCTCCAATCTTCGGGACTAGTTTGAAACTTTCCAAAAAAAAAACATCATTGCCTATTCTTGATTAAGTGTTGTCGATTCTTGTTCTGTTCTTGGTTTTTTCTTTTTTTACCAAATTTTTTTCTCTTTTATAAATTACAATGGTTATTCATACCCAAAAAATCAAAATATATGTAAAAATGTATGTTTTTAATGTTTTATTAGAGTTTGTTATTGGTCTGTTCTTGGTCTGATCGGTCGGTTCTTGGTCTGTTCTTAGTCTGGTGGTCGGTTCTTGGTCTGGTGGTTGGTTCTTGGTTTGTTCTTGGTCTGGTTGGTCGGTTCTTGGTCTGTTCTTAGTCTGTTCTTGGTATGGTGGTCAATTCTTGATCTGTTCTTGGTCTGGTGGTCGGTTCTTGGTCTGTTCTTGGTCTGGTGGTCGGTTCTTGGTCTGGTGG